GATTTAAGATTCACTCATATGTAATTTGTATCTCACAATCACAACTCCTTGTGATTAACAAATCACCAAGACTTGAATCTACGGATTCTATCATTTAATTTATTAGAATATTAATTCAATTAAATAATAGATATTGCCATATATATGCATTGATTATATATATTCAAAATGTTTATGTCCAAAGTTGATTGGACTTAGGGCATAACACTTACATTATAACTAAAATAATTAACAGTAAGGATAGGGAAACAAGTATTATTTTATGAAAAATGGGACCATCATAGCATACTTGATGGACATGTTAACCCGCGACTGCATGTGTGATGTTTGGTTGACAATGATAGGTTTAACTGAAACTGTAATAGGATAAATAATGGACCCACCATCTGTGGACCCATTCCTCCTAAAACTAGGTTTTGATTAGTGAAACTTAAATATAAATATGAATAGAAAATTTGTTTTTTTTAATGTTATACGTGTGAAATTACGCATAGTTAATTGTAATAATTTCACGTTTCAAATACTAGTAAAATTGAAAAATTGTTTTAAAAGGTTAGATTTTATTAAGAGAAGAGTCTAATTCTTATAAGCTCGTTCTGATGCAGCAGAATGTCAGAATATGTGAAATGATAATTAACGCTTTAAAATTCATTGATTCAATAGGTAAATATCGAGACTCAGTAAATATAGAGAAAAGTTTCTCAATATTTTATTAAATTATTCAAAGTTGTTTGAAAGTTTTTGATAAAAAATTTAGTACATTTTGATAAAAGTTGATCAAAATTGTGGGTGTCATAAAATATTAAAAATGTGTGATTAACATTAACTTCACTCTATTGATTTATTTACTTTTATTCATTTATAAAATTATACGTGATGAGGTTTATTGCGAAACTTGATATTTCCAGTATTACACAACAACTCAAGAAATTTAATTTGACTGATCAACCATATAATCTTGACATCTTAATTCTAATATTTCTTTGGGCAGTAAAAGTTTTCTTTTTCTGGTGATTTTTGTATTGAATATAAGTGAAAATTTGTGTTGCTTTTAATCTTTATCCTTGAATGTGGTAGGCCCAGAAGATCACATGAAAGTGCATTAAAAATCCCTCTTGGTTTGTCCGATGTTATCATATTTTCTGAACATCCAAACGCAAAATTGCAAATTCAAATACCGATTTTGATTTTAATTTTTATTCCAGTTTTCACATGTTGTGTAAAGGATAAGTTCATTCAATTAATCTATCCCTACAACTCTGGTTGACAACCATTATTGCCAACTTTAATGTTGTTAAAATCCATACCGTCGATTTTTAACATTTTTTTAAAATTGATGAATGTGATACTATCAAATAAAGTTATCAACCAAAATGGTCAATTAAAGTTGTCCAAGTACATGATTCAAGTTCATTTCCATTTTCCACAACGTCAAGCTTTTTAATGAAAATTTCACCACGGTACCTAATCTATTGCTCATAAGCAAGTTGATCCCCAACACATAAAAAAAAGAACAAATTTCATGAATTTGAGTCCATGGTCAAAAAGCTCTATGCTTGTCATGCTAGTCACAAATGCAGAACAACAATGGCTAATATCCCAACCCGAAGTAGAAAATATAAATTTGACCATTAAAATACAATCAAAATATCAAATTCAAACAAGGATTTTGATCTTGGGTGCTCAAGCTAACTCTCAACTCAAACTACATAATATTACAAGACATCCTGAAAAATAATTAGGACTACAGCAATCAAAAAAAATATAAACTTCTCCGTTGATGATTATTCACATATAGTGAGATAGCTAATGCAAGGGTCAGTCATCCGAGCTATAATCACTAGATTCTTGTAGCATTGGCAAAGCAGCACAACAGAACAGCTCCTTGTCTTTGAGAAGAAGACAACTTCCGTCTAGATTCCATTTCAGATCGATGACAGAAAACTGTGGAAACGGAATGTTTATGCAGTAAGCGCCTGAGGGCGTCCACATGTATAAATGATTACTTCCGGTACATAGAAGTAGACGTGGATACTTTGGGTCCCACACTGCTGCTCGGATGGGATCCTTTTGAATCAAGATAGCCGCAAGCTCAAGATGGTGTACTTCCCATATCCAAAGAACCGTTGGCATATTATCATTACGAGTACAAATGTACTGACTGTCACTGCTCCAAGACATAAGACCTGCAATGGATTATGAAAGGAGGTCGTCAACATAAATAACCTACTTGAATTTTGAAAGTTTCTTAGGTTCAAGAATATTTTGCTTGCATCTTAGAAACATCTTCATCTATAATCGAAGGCTCCTAACAATAAGGGAAATATACACAATCAAAGAGCATAAAATCCTAAAATGCTGAAATCTACAAATTTTAGAAAGATATTGGCACCTAGTGCGATTCCACAACTACCATAATATTGCATGGCCACATTTAGATAAAGATTCTGACCCATTAATAATAACAACAACATGGCCACATTGTAATCATCTCAACTATTTTGTTGTGCATACAAACTGCAATCTGTTTAATCTTTAAGGAGTAACTTACAAGGGAAGAATTTTCATCGGAAGCCATTGGTGATCATTAATGCTCTGGTACCAGGAAGAAACCGAGAAGATTCTAAGGGAAGGGGGATTCGGGGTTTCTAAGATGAGAGGAAATGCAATCGGGAAGATTCTGGAAAAATGGAAGTTGTCTACTTACTGAAAATACCTCACAGTATTCCTTTATATGCAACAAACAAAAGAAAAAAACATGAGAATGAGAAACGATACATAAAGCACTACACTTGGAATAAAGAGTTGACAGCTGCTTGATTTATTCTAACATGCAGTAACAGTATGTAAGGGAATATACACATAAGTAAAATTTGTATCATACACGGTCTTACCTATTCCTTGCTTAGGATTTGGTTTATCTGCTGGAGGCTTCAGGGAGGGGAGAGTAATTGGCACTTCCATAACATCATACCTAACTTGAATTTGTGTTTCAGAAACACTATCTGCAAAGGGATATCATCAGGGTAAAAAGGTTGCACGACTAAAGAAAGACTCAGCAGAAAAAGTTAACAGAAAGAGACAGAGAAAGCACAATGACAAGCTTCAATCCTACCACAAATACTCGCGGTTATAAAATATGCCACTAAATCATTTTTTTAATACAGCAGAAATGTGGGCCACGAAGTATTTAGGTGAAAAGGCAATATGGCCAAATTGGCAGAGAATTAACACTTCTTGAAAGGAAAAATTCATCCAATGAAATCTTTTCATAGCATCTCTAAAGAATAAGAAATTACATCGAACCTCATCTCAAGCGCTTTCACTTTTTTACCTTCAAATTAATTTAACCACACCAACTAATTAATAGAGAATCAATACAACGAATCTTGGCAAAGAGGCATGTATGAAATGATCCAAAACAATAGAAGAGTTCAAGCAATGTAGATAGTGCACAATATCCAATAAGGCTCCAGCATAGATTAGATTAGAGCAACACATTTTTGACCAAGAAGGCAAGACTTCTGGAGATGAAATGCAAAAGTTTGAGCTTGAGCTTGAGCTTAATCTATGTGAAAATTGAGTCAGTGAGAAGAATGTAGCTTGACTTTCTGAACATTATATGCAAAAAACTGGTTATGTGATTTATAGGTAATACCATTTACAGTAACAATAAAGAAAGCCCTGAAAAGAAGAACCCTAACTTTTAGATAAAACAATCACCCTTACTTTGAGGCCCAGATCAAAACAATATGCATTTGGTCTCAAATTCTTTACTAAAAATTTGATGATAATTCTTTAACATGGGTAAATGAGCTGAAGCACCATAATCACAGAGCGATTAGTAAGTAGAATGTAAAATACTTCACCGGTCATATCAATGGTATATCAGAGACGTATGTGTACATATGTATTAGATATCTTTATAGTGTTTTGTTTAAATTTTTAAATAGTACTTGATGTAAATTTTCCTACACTATGTTTTTTCACAAGAATTAAATAAATAAATAAGAAACTACGAAAACACTATCCATTCAACCAAAGAGTCGAACAAAGTTATTCAGCCATGATAGAGGGAGTAATGTAGTCACCAGAAAAAAAGAAGATAAAAATGCATTATAAGCCACATTTCATTGAACACCTTCTCCCCAAGTTCAGAGTTGCTTAGCAACTCTCCTTTTTCACCATCTTTTAAGTAAAAGTGATTCTGAGCTTGTAGCTATTTTAACCCTATGCAAAAACCTAATATATTTTCTTCTCTCTCTGTGAAAACACACTACAAATCTTCATCAGAAAAAAGAGCACAAAGGAAAAAGTATATAAGAAAATCTAATAAGAAGATGAATCTGGTTACAACCATGATAACATGTTTCAAGGCATGAAAGTAGAAACAAGTGAAATATGAATTGTTAAAAGCAAACAATGGACCTCACCAGCACTGCGTTGAACAAAATCATCGTTCAGTGACAATTCTGACATATCAAGTTGCAATGGCTCATCCACTTCCTGAAATGTATGGGGAAACTGTATAAAATCCTACAAAGCAATGCTCGCCGAGTAAATAAATGAGAAATTTTGTCACCTTGAAAATAGCAGCACCACATGGGCCACGAACAGTCGATAGGTGCGTAAATTCTGCAAATACTTTCCATGTCAAGTGATTTAAAACCCGTATCATCTGGTCATAACTTCCTACTGCCAAAAATTGGCTACACGGTGACCATGAAACACTTTTTACACCCAATCCACATTCATATGCTTGATACTTGGATAGACACCTTCCGTCTGGGGAATATATCAGAACCTAAACCAAACAAAACCATTTCAATCTTAAGCAATAACTAGGAGGTTTAAACAAAATAGTACCACATAATCAGGACAAGATGCTATCGCCTTTTCTTATGTTCTACAACTGACACATAATTGAGATGACGCTAGCATCAGGCAGGCCTTTGGCTAATTTGATTCTACCTTCATGCTAAATAGCTACTTGGCAGAAAGCAAGAAATGGCAACAAGAAAATTACCTTATATTCAAGAGGGGAATCCCAGATAACTATGGCACTGTCATCAGGTGACCATTGGATATCAGCCAAATCCAATGTGTCAACTGCAAAAACACCCATAATTTCCCATGTATGACAAGAGAGCAGATTGACATAGTCCTTGCAATCACGTCTAGTACATATTGCAGAAAACTTGCCATCTTTGGTAAATGACACTCCCTTCGAACCATGCTTCGGCCCTTGCACATGTATGCATGCAGTGTTTAACAATGACCAAACTGTTAACCGCAATTGAAAGTCAGATGTGGTGAGTATGTGGCGACTATCAGGACTCCACCTTGCATAGGAAATTCCGGCAGAACCTTCATCTATTTTGCATGTCCATTCAGGTTGTGCCAAGGACCATGCTTGTATCATAGGTCTCTTATACAGACCACACAATATATACTCTGAATCAAGGGCCCACTCAATGTAAGTTATTTTGTCCAAGCACGAAAATAGTTGCACCACCTGTGTCACGATTTGTAAAATATTTTTAATTACTTTTATTTCTGCAACCTAGAAATCACATACTGTTGCTTTATATATAACAAACTTATCATGAGTTTCACGTGATTATGATTCGACATCTCAAATATAAAGTATCAACTACAGACAATAAGATATTTTATGGAAAATCCAATAAAATCAATTGCTGCATTTATTGTATGCCTACTTTAGTAAAAATCAAATCATGTCTGTAAACGAGTTTTAAGAACTATCAACAAATCCCTAAGATACTACGGCAAGAAACAAGCAAACATATGACCACTTCGGTAATAGATGTTACTAAAACTAGACTCACTAGTTCAACAATAAAAACCAGGTACAGTTATACGTAAATAGATGGATAAAGGAAATTCGGTAAAAGAATAGCCTAACCAGCCTGTGCAATCACAAACTGGATGAACCAATCACAGTTTTTCCCTGTTTATCTGGATCTCCTTTGATAAAATATCCCACAAATAAATTTGTTGGATAGCACGCCTGCCTATATGTCCACTTCAGTAGGCACTGCTCCTTTTAAAGACGTTCCTTCTATAATTCCATTACTTATCTTCCGACGTAGAACTAGATAAAGAGCCCCCAACAAAGCCAATTTACAATGTTTGCCTTATTCTTCATTATTTTAGATGATTGGTTCTTTTACTTCTACTTACAGAGTACAGCCAATTATACTTAATTATTAGTATAATAATGCTGGACTCATTTTTCGAAAGACTAGAACAATTTACAGAATAATAAATACAATTAACAAACATGGATCTATAATTACTTTGATTTAGTATATTGAAAATTTAAAAATATATTCTTCTTAAAATATTATATGTATAGGTCACCTTTCAGCATGTAGTTTGACACCAATTGAACCTTTAGACCTTTTACATTGTCTGGTTCAATTCCCGGATTCGATTAGAAACACAAATTTCATCAATAAGGTAAGACTGTATTTCTTGGTATTCGCTGTCCCGATATAAATCTATACACAAACTTCCATTTAACTTCAAAAATGGTATGTACCGTGCTTAAAGAAACACATTGCGTCCTAGCATTTCAAAAGGGTAATGTAAAAAGAAAATGCGGTTTTTGGTGAAAGTCGAAAATAAGTTACTTAAAATTAAGAACAAGATAAGTTATCTAAACACGGAGACAAAATTAACCAAACATTCTCTTAAACCATAATTTTTAAAATATAATTAAATACAACTCTTCTACGTCTGGACTTAGTGCTCACGTGAAAGTCCGAATCAAAATGCTTAGTTACCACATTTGCAAAATTCGCATAGAGCTGAAGATCTACGAAAACAAGTTAATTCCTATAACTACCTTGAATGTGAGAACATCGCGAATCACGAGGCGATAATCGACTGCAACTGCAAGAAACCGAGCATTTGGAGAAAAAGCACAAGGACCCGCCTGCTTATAAGCTTCAGTAAACTCCATTCCGTGACAACCAAAGACAAAACAAATTGAAGACGAAATTATGGTTCAGCTACACTATACAGCCTTCATTAATTAGATACTCTGAACAGAGAAGATTATGGATGTGGATCTGTTCGTGAAATTGAGGGATCTATGCAGTGAAAAAATGTGGGTGCAGAGACAGATGCAGGCGGAAGAGTATATTTGAATCGTATCTATAGGTCGGTTTTTGGATTTTTGGTTCAAAATTTTACACAGGTCAATTGGACCGGGCTCAATTTCCTATTTGACACAACTAGGCCATGTTTGGTAGAAGGAATAAGTAATTGATGGTAAATATAAGAAGAGTTTTGCTAAATGAACGTGCTTAATAACATGTTAAAAAATATATAGGACACGTGTCGATGCACGATTAGACAGTTTAAAAAGGAAAAAAAACACCCAACACGTGTCACCCCACCCCGTCAAAAGCCCTTACTTAGAGGAGCATTATTCGCGTAACAATGAATGGAGGTAGAATTTTTTACTTTCCCTTGGGAGGAGAAGGCGTATATGAAAGGAAAAAAGAGGATCAAATTAGGAAAATGTTGGTTGTACTCCGTACTTTACATATTTTTTTAACAAATTGATGATATGTCAAAAAGAAAGTGAATTTTTTTTATTTTGTTTATGAAATTTTGATTCAATTATATCTTGTCATATCATCCGTTGATAAATCAATGTGTAAGTTGTGATGTACATATAATACAATCGTAAAATTTAACATTGGTATCATGATTTGTATGATAGTTTGAATTTGTGACGTCCTTGTGATTCTAATGAAATTTCACGAGGGTCGGTAAAATAGATATGATTTTTAAGTATTTATTTATGACGAATATTAACCTTAAACACTTATCATAATATGATCATTTCATTATGTAAGTTAGCACGACTATTATGTGACATCCCAAAATTTTACCATGTTTTTATTGTGATATACCTTTCGTCAGTTTCATGTAGCTAGTAAAAGTTGTTGTTGACCCAAAAAAATGTTGTCAACAGATGTCGGGCCCACTCATGTATGCGTAAACTTAATCCAACACGTTAATGCTGATCGACAGTCATGATAGCTCTAAAATCTGGACGTGGGAGGAGCTCAACGACACGAGACGTCACCGTTCGGGCCTCTGGCAAGATAATTGTAACACGATTGTATAAGAAATCAATCGATAAATAACAAGATTTGTAGTAGAAAATACGTTGTTAAACGAGAGAGAGATATATATTGTTTCAAGTATTTGAACTTTCATTCACCTTTTCGTGTTACATGGTGGTGGTATTTATAGTGTTACAAATGAAATAATGACCTTTGGATCACTTTACACGTGGCACCATCTCCTCGGCCAAGACATCAAGTCCTAGCCATCAAGTTGATTCTCCTAGCCTTACAAGACATTAAATGCTCTTACATTGACAAGACAAGACACAAATAAACTTTTACACAAGAGTCACGTCAATCATTTAAATAAAGATTTTCATCATGAGTGAATCCTTACACTTGGTCAACAGCTGTTAAAGAGCCTCAGATCCGTGGTGGTGCCATGAGCCTCGGAAGTAGGGCATCGAATAGTGCATGGCCACGGAATCATGGCTTCGGCTAACAACATTGGCCTCGGAATAAGTCAAGGCCTCGGAGTCCACGTCAGAGGCTAGGAAAACACACCCTGATTTTATTAAACTGGTCCCATCGTTGAAATATGGTGCCACATGTCGCTTCCATTTATGACTCGTAACAATAGTCCCCCAAGTCCATGCTTGGTTATTTATGTCATGCGTGGACTTTCAATAAGTCAGAAAAAGTTTTAATTTTTTGCACTTCACATCAGTCCCTCAAGTCCAGGCATATTTATACTGTGCGTGAAATTCAAGAAGTGTGATGCATAAGGTTAAGAAAGTTGCCTTTAAGGTTGAATTCCTTTGAAGTGAGGCGAGTTCATATTTGAACTGGCGAGGCTGAATTCCCTTGAAGCGAGGCGAGTTCATGTTCAAACTGGCGAGGCTGAATTCCATTGAGCGAGGCGATTTCATGTTCGAACTAGCGAGGTTGAATTTCCTTGAAGCGAGACGAGTTCATATTCGAACTAGCGATGCTGAATTCTTTTGAAGCGAGGCGAGTTCATATTTGAACTAGTGAGGCTGAATTCCCTTGAAGCGAGGCGAGTTCATATTCGAACCGGCGAGGCTGAATTCCTTTGAAGCGAGGCGAGGCTGAATTCTTTTGAAGCGAGGCGAGTTCATATTCGAACTGGCGAGGCTGAATTCGTTTTGGAGCTAAAGCGACATTCATAGATATTAGTGCCTGTGACATGACGGTTTCTTATGTTTCCAAGGCAAATTGGCTACATCGAGAAACGACTTCCAATAACTGTACAGCTATTTGAATTCAATGCATAATGATGGCTAATTATTAGGATGCGTGGTTTTGGGGAACTCTTTCACACGCGAATCCATGCGGGTACACATACGTATTAATCTGGAGCGTTGAAAATATAAACCGTTCGGAATCTGTGGCTGGGATCTACTTACTTTTGGACGCTTCAGATCAGCTAAGATTTAATCCAAGGGTTAGGATTGAGTCCTTCACTAGTATAAAAGCTAGAATCTTATCATTTTCAAACTTTTTCTTTGCGAAATACTCCTCAAAACCTTTCAAGTTTTCTTGCTGCTAAATCTTTTCCGACGAGTCTTCAGGCGAACTTCTTCGTCCATTTAGGTATTCTTTCATTAAGGAGCATTCTCTCCAATCTTCAACACCATTCCCGTAGTTTTTCGCAATTTTCTTTTATTTGCAATATCTGCCGAGGCGTCCTTGGCTATCACAGTGGTTAGGAGTGGGGAACAGTCAATATCTGGGGCTTCGGTTGAGTGGTATAGTATGTCCGAGGAGCCCATAGATTACGAGGCGGGTTGGGGGGTAGCCAAGATTCCATCCAACGTAACCTCTTCCAAATTAGCCAAACTTAGGGACACCTATCGTATACCCTACTACGTAGAGCTCATAGCCCCTGACCCCCACGAAAGAGCCTGTTTTCCGAGGCCAAACTGCGTAGCTTTCAGTGAATACCTGCTTAAAGCAGGTGTGCATCTGCCTCTGCACCCTTTCTTTAGGGCGATGCTGAGGACCTTTATGTTGTCCCCTACCCAAATTCTTCCAAATGGGTAGAGCCAAGTCGTAGGGACCTACTTCCTTTGGAAGGAAGTGTCTTTAGGCGAGGACTTGCCCCTGCATGTCTTCGAGACCTTATTCCATGCTAGGGTCGTAGGGAAGGACGACTCGAAGGGTGGTACTATATCACCCCTTGGGGCTCCCATGCCCCCTTCGTAATTGGGCTCCCCTCCTCCATAAAGGAGTGGAAGGAGTCCTGGTTCCGGGTGACGGGTAGGTGGCAGATGGTTGAGGAAGATGTTGTCCCAGCTGTTACCATGCCGACCCAGTACTACGAAGCTTGTGAGTGCCTCGTCTTAAGATACTTTTGATTTAAATATTACTCCTCGATACTGATTTTTATTTATTGATTAACAGATTGCAGCACTCGGTACAAACTAACTGAGGCGGAGTGGGGCATTATTGCAGACATTTGCAAACGGTCTCCGAAGCTCTAAAGCTTTGACAGAGATCGATACTTCATCGATTGTGGACTCATGGCTCCCAAAGGTATGAAGCCTTCTAGCTTCTAATTTTCATATCACTTTAATAATTTTAACTTTTTCTTTGGTGATTGCAGATAAGTTCAGGAAGAAGGATTATACCTTCCCTGATATGGCCAGTATAATGAAGGCCTCCACGTCCACCGCCTGGGTGAAGGTGCTGAAGCCTGGGTCCTCGGGGGCCAAACAGTAAAGTCCAAGCTGGATCGCCTCAGCAAGGACAAGAATGATAAGGATGCTGAGGAGGAGGCCCCCAAAGAGGTCATTAAGGGAGGTAAGCCGCCGCCATTAAGGGCAAGGCCGTGGCTGAGGAGCCGCAGAAGAAAAGGAAACTGGGCCCAGGTGGGTCTTCAAGCTTTGGGACTTCGGTGTCCTACACGGAGAAGGGTGCTTCTAAGCAGCCGAAGCTCCTGCAATCTTCAATTGATGCTGCAATGGTAGCTCAATCAAGGAAGATTATAGAGGATGCAGCGAAGGCCGCCGAGGCCACCAAGAAAGCGCCGGTGGAGAGGACCCCAGGGAAGTCTGGGAACTTCCTGGGAGGCAGGGAGAACAAAATAGCGCCTGCCCTTATTGAAATGCTTCCACCCGAGGTGAAAGCTGCCACCGAAGGGTTTAACAAATTTTGGACCGAGAGGTTGCAGAACTACGTTGCTACATGCGACGCAGTGGATCTCACAGCCACTTTAGTGAGCCAAACTGCCAGGGCTTTTGGCGTGGCACTTGAGTGCCAAACAGTGCTTGCTGATAATCAATCAAGGTGATAAGTGCGAGTTTTTGCACTTATTCGGATCATTAATTTAGATATTTGTGAGTTTTTATTATCAATTTATTACTTAATTTAGTTGTTTTTATTTTATAGGTGAAAACTCGAGTTTGAATGATGATTGAAGGAATTTATGCGAGAAATGAGCAAAAAGAACCAAAGGCGCAAAATTTCAAAGTTTGGGGACCA